CGATCATCCTAAGGTCTCCAAATGATATCCTTTAAATGCATTCTATTGTCTCCATCGTCATCTTCATCTTCAAAGCTTGAAAAAAATATATAAGTTGTTAGTTTTAGTGTCTTTCTCTTTCATTTTCTGATTATGTCATCAAATCCTGCTAATGCATTCCACACCCTGTCTAAAACTTTGAGTTCCTTTTTTCAGAATGGCTACTACAATTTAGGCCTTTATTGACTCAGTATCTTATTTCTCATCTGTTAATTTATTTCTTGCTTCAGTTCAGCTGTCAGAATAATGTCCTTCAAATTATAGTTTCATTATACTATTTCCTAAATACGTATTCCCTTTCCTAGACATGTATTTTGATCTCTTTTTTTTACAGCATCAAATTTAAATTCTCTCCTTACCATTTCAAGTATTTCATCCTCTGTTTTTTCCTGAACTTACGCACAATTCAAACCACAATGACAGCATTATAGTTCCAAGTTAAGTACTGATGAGATCATTTTACTGTAAACATCTCATTTTGGAGATGAGTAAACAAAGTGGCAGAGAGAGCGACTTGCCAAAGTTCACACAGCTTGAAAGTCTCAAAAGCAAGTGCAAGACAACTTTTGCAAAACAGAACCTCAAAACTGTTCTTCCATTATTTCCTGTATTGGTAAACAAAACCATCTTCCATCCACTTGCATAAACCAGAAAGCTAGAAGTATTCATTTTTCACACTTCCGTTATTCTTTCCATTTTCTCCCAAAACCAACCCTTTCTCAAGCTCACTTTTCTTAGCTCTGCAGCTTCCATCTTTGTTTAAATTACCATAATCTTATTCTTGGAGTATAAAAACACCCTCTAACTGGTCTTTGCATCTACACTAACTATCCTCCACACCGTAGTCAGAGTGATTTTTTTTTTTTTCAATACACACATCTTACTGTGCACTTCAATGGCTTCTTTCTGTGTTGACAAATAAGGCCCTGCAAAATCTAGCTACGGTCTGCTCTGTAGCCTAAACTCGGAACTTCTCGCCTTCACTCTGCTGCCCAGCTACATTAGCCTGCTCT